CAGCCCAATAGTCCCATAGACAGTTCTTTTTGGATAAATGTAGAAATTGACCCTTATTACTGTTAAAGTTTGAAACTTGTATCTGTTCTACCTAAGTTCATTCCTCAGGAAAGAACCTTCAGCCCTCTCAAAAGAGTATCAAAGAACTGAAACTCATCACATCACCCCACCAGATGTCTCCTTGTCCCTCCCTAGTACCTGTTTTCTTACACATTGCTACATTTCTTCACTGCTATATAAATCCCTAGTTTTAGTCAGGCATATGGATTTGAGACTGAGCTCCTAGCTCCTCTGTTGCAGCATCCAAATTAAGCCTTCTTCCTTGGCAATACTTGTCATCACTGTCATTGGCTTTCTGTGCAGTTAGCAGCAGGACCTAGACTGAACTCCTGGTATTTTGGTAACAAAGTTGAAGCTCTCAGTCATAGAGTGGATTGACACTTAAAACAACAACAACAACAACAACAAAAATAACAGAATTCATCTTTGTTTTTCAAAATTGTGGTTTTCTATTGCTCCAATACTTGAGTAGACCTTTGGCCACTGGTCATAGTAAGAATAGAAAATTTAAAATACCATTCAGTACATTTTGTTTCGCTATGAGTTTATTTGATAGAAATAGTCTGTCAATGAATTATTTAGAGCAAAATGTGAGGCATGTATGTTACATTTCAAATTGATACTTACTGTGGTCCAGCTGACTTGTTGACCTAGATCTGTAGCATACAGCGTGACAATGGAGGAAGCTGCAATACTTTGAATGGTAATGTAGTCCTTCAAAAAAGGCCCACCTAAAATAAAAACAACAAGAAAATGTTACTTTAATACACTTTCTTAGCATAATGATAAATAATTTCTTAATGTAAAATCAGTAAAAGCTAGCAATTAATTTAATATGGCAATTACAATGTAAAATAAATCTTCAAAGTAAAACAAAATGTGAACAATGACATTTTATAACATCTATCTAGCAACTTATCAAATGCACAGTGGTTTCCCAATATCATCTAACCAAAATTTAGACTACCATTAGTTACTATCTTATTATTTCTGAGAACATGTCATATTAGGGCCTAAACAAATAACATACAGGATTTTTTTAAAGTATAATTTTAGGACGGGTGTGAAGGCTCCCATCTGTAATCTCAACATTTTGTCAAGCTGAGGAGAGCAGATCTCTTGAGTCCAGGAGTTCCAGCCATCTTGGTGACATGGCGAAACCCTGTCTCTACCAAAAAAAAAAAAAAAAAAAGACAGGAGTGGACCAGTTAGTGTGAGAAACAAAAGTGGGGGCTGACTATGAGGTATGGGTTCAGCAGTGTGGGGATTAGGAGGCAGGTGATAAGAGGTGACATGAGAATCTAAGGCTTCTTCTGGTTTGATGTAAAAATAGGAGCATAACAAGGAGTCTTAGAAATGGTGTGGGGTTACTGTTAGAGTTTTTATGGGGAAGAAAGGCTGGATGCTTTCAAGGATGCCCAGGGAGAGGCGAATGTATCTGTGTCCTGTTTCGCCTTATACAAGGAAAATGACAGTTTCCTTTGTTTCAAATGAGGATGAAGCTAAAAATTATTAGTATTAAATAGTAGCATTCAATTGCTACTAAACTTGATAGACCACTTAATAGTGATTCTCAACTTTGTACATTGGAAACATCTGGGGATCCTATTTCCAGATGGTTTGGGGTGTGGCCTGAACAGTTGGGCTTTTAAAAAGCTCCCCAAGTGATTTTAGTTTGCAGCCAAGATTGAGAACCACTGCCTTCTAGAAATAAACTTATTTTCCAAATGAAATCAATTATTGTTTGATTGAATCTGGCATCGTATCTGAAACAATTCAATTAGTGTTGTACCATTGTTTCATAAACAAATCCTTGGGTTAAAAATTTTCAGAGCTGTTTAGCTTAAAAAATTTAATCTGCGCCCATCCAAATGAAAGATCTACAGGTAATGGAAACCAGAGCAAATTATCTAACCTGCCTAAACCTTGGTTTGTTCATTCTTTTTGTACTGGAACAATGAAAGTTCTAATGAAAGCCAGCCTTAGCTTGATGTGGGACTATAAAGGAGGTAATGTAAAAAGTATTCTATCATACTGAGTCAAGTACAGAGCAAGCCCTGACCACAAAAGGAATATGTAAAAGTGAAAAACTTGAGCCCTGACCACAAAAAGTGAAAGTGAAAAATTTATACTTTCTCTAGGTACCTATACGTGTATTTTTGGATCTATCCTCATTGCCCTGTATACCTTTAAGCAAGCCAGTGGAACTCTTAAGACTAGATTTAATGACTCCATATTTGAACACCTCTAAAAGAGAAGTAAAGGTAAGGACAACATGCAAAATGATTTCGTTTGTTATTGTTTAGAATAATTATCTTAAATTAGGTGATACTTTTATATATAGTTTTAGCTACTTTAAAGATTTAAATCTTATTTTCTGAACAATATCCAAAAATGGATTTAAGTAAATTAGTGAATAGGTTAATATTGATACGAATTAGCTGGTGAAATGTATTTTAAAATAAATTCTTGTATTTAAAAGTAACTAACAAGAGAAAGAAGACTTAAGTCTACTCTATGTACTCTGATGATATTTTCATAATTTCTTAATTTTCATAGGTACACATTTGTAAATCTGGAAGAGTGACTGCTATTCCATTTTGGTATCATATGTACCTTGATGAAGAGATTAGGTTGGATACTTCAAGTGAAGCCTCCCACTGGAAACAAGCTGCAGTTGTTTTAGATAATCCCATCCAGGTTGAAATGGGAGAGGAACTTGTACTCAGTGTTCAGCACCACAAAAGCAATGTCAGCATCACAGTAAAGCAATGAAGAGCAGTTTTCCAATGAAAACTGTTTAAATAGAGCATCAACAAGTACAAAATTCTTATCTTAATTAGTGGGGGTCTATAAAAATTCCTTGTAATGGTCAAATATTTTTAAACATTGACATTAATAAAGCATATTTTAAAAGATTCTAAATAAAAGAGTAGCATTATTATAGAAATACTGCTGCAGATTTGCTTTCTGGAAAAGGATACATCACTAGTTTTTTGAATTAGGAAACTTCTTTTGCTCGATATTACGGAATAGGGATTTTAAAAGTCTTATTGTTATTGACATGTGTCAATAAGTAAAGCAAAACTTTACTTTTGTAGGCATCTTGGCCTTTTTTCTTAAATCCAAACTTGTAATTGGGAAACACTGAAAGGCTTCCACTGAAGACTGAGGGTTATGGTTACCTGTAAATTCCAATCTTGCTTCCTTTAAATACTCAGTGTACATCTGAAACAGGTTTTGTTTTGAGAATGCAAGCTTGAAAAAGAATTTAAGCTATAAGCTAAATGTAATTACAACAGTTAAGGAGTTAGGGAATAAATCTTCAGGAGGCAGCATTTTTCTTGGTCTACTTTGGCAAAAGAACATTTAAAAGCTGGTAACAACAAAGTTTAACTGAAGAAAGAGTTAATCCTAAACTATTTTTCCAAGTTTTGATTTGGATGCACGATAAGTAGATTAATTGATCCAATTTTTACAGACTTTTGAAATAAAGGAAGATCATTATTATGCCTCCTATATGCTGTATACTCTTTGTAAGTCACAAATAAGACAGATCTTTGCTCCAGACTACCTATTCTTGGTACCTCTATAATTATACTACCCGGCTTTATTTTTAAAATAAATTTTATTGCATACATTTAAGGTATATGACGTGAAGCAAATTAACATATCCATCATCTCAGTTACCCATATATTTTTTGTTTCTGACAAGAGCAGCTGAAAGCTACTCATTTAGCATGAATCCCAAATACAGTACAATTTTGTTACCTAAAATTCTCATGTTGTACATTAGATCTCTAGACTTGTTCATCCTACATATCTGCTACTTTGAATCCTTTGACCTGCATTTCCCCATTTCTCCCTACCCCCCATAACCAGTTTTGTTCTTTATATATTTGAATTTTTTTTTTAGATTCTACGTATATGTGAGATTATGCAGTATCTTTTTTCTGTCTGGCTTATTTCATTTAGCACAGTGTCCTTCAGGCCCGTCCATGTTGTAGCAAATGGCAGTATATCGTTGTTTTTTTTTTTTAGGGATGAATAATATTCCATTGTGTGTATGCATATATATACAGTTTCTTTATTCATCTGTCAACAGACACTTGAGTTGTCTCCATATGTTGGCTACTGCGAATAATGCTGTAATGAACACGGACTGCAGATCTATTTACAAGGTGGTGATTTCATATGCTTTGAGTATATGCCCAGAAGAGGGATTGCTGGATCATATGGTAGTTTTATTTTTCTTTAGAAACTTCCATTCCATTTTCCGTGAGAGGTAGTACTTCAGAGTGGTTTTTATATGCATTTCCTTGATGATTAATTATGTTGAGCACCCTTTTATATACCTGTTGGCCATCTGTGTGTCTTCTTCGGAGAAATGTCTATTCAGGTCTTTTGCCCATTTTTAAAATTGAGTTGTATGAATTCTTTATACATTTTGGATACTAACCCTTTTTCAGATATATGGCTTACAAATATTTTTTACTCAACCTGTAGGCTATTGTTTCATTTTGTTGACTGTTTCTTTTACTGTCAGCAGCTTTTTGGTTTGATGTAGTCAGGTTTGTTTTTGCTTCTGTTGACTGAGCTTTTGGTGTGGTATCCAAAAAATCATTGCCAAGGGTCAGTGTCCAGGAACTTTTCTCCTATGTTTTCTTCTAGTTTTATTGTTTCTGGTCTTACATTTAGGTCTTTTATCCATCTTGAGTTGATTGTTGTGTAGGTCTAAGATAAGGGTCTGATTTCATTGTTTTGCCTGTGGAAATGCAGTTTCCCAGCACCACTTAATGAAGACTGTTCTTTCCCTGCTGTGTCTTCTTGGTGTCTTTGTCAAAAATTAGTTGATTGTATATGTTTGGATTTATTTCTGGATCCTTTCTTCTGTCCCACTGTTCTATGTATGTATTTTTATGCCAGTACCATACTGTCTTGATTACTATAGCTTTGTAATATAACTTATAATTAGGAAATGTGATGTCTCCAACTTTTTTTCCTCAGTATTGTTTTGCCTATTCAGGGTCTTTTATGGTTACATATGAATTTTAGGATTTTTTTTCTATTTGTGTAAATAATGCCATTGGAATTTTGATAGGATTGCGTTGATTCTGAATTGCTTTGGGTAGTGTGACCATTTTAACAATATTATTCTGATCCATGAGCAGAGGATATCTTTCCATTTATTTGTGTCTTTCTTTCATCAGTGTTTCATAGTTTTCAGTGTACAAGTCTTTTACTGCCTTGGTGTTAAATTTATTCCTAAGTATTTTTTTAATGCTATCATAAATGGCATCTTGATTTTTCAGTTAGATCATTATTTATGTATAAAAATGCTAATGCTTTTTGTATGTTGATTTTGTATTCTGCAACTTTACTGAATTCACTTGAGTTCTAACAGATTTTTTTTTTTGTGTATCTTTGGGGTTTTTACATATAGCCCAGTTTTAGTTTTAATAGAAATGTTTATAACAGTGGACAGAATAAAGACTTTGTATAATTACTGTGAACCACTATATCTGTTTCTATATATGTATATATGAATGAGTATGTGTATAAATACATAAAGCAAAGGCTTTGAGAAACAATACTCATCTTTGCTTTCTGTAACATACTATGGCACTTTTTATTTTCATTATAAAATGTCAAACATGACCCAGTGGGGTTGTGATTAGCAATTAGAGAAACCCCATCATAGGTAATAAAGTTTTCCCAAATAGCACCTATATATCTTCTGACTGTGGTTTAATGAGTAATTAAGACCATTCAGCCAAGATTTACATTTGCTGCCACCTTTAATAGCATTGACGAAAAGTAGTACATTTTTTGTTTGACTTCTTTTTCACTGTGCCTCTAATCAAAAATTGTTAAAATATTAAGGTTTTTTAATGTTTAAAGAATGAGACATAAAAAAGTTGCAGAAAATAAATGATAAATTCTTATTTATTGAAAGACATTCAGTTGAGAAATAAGAGATATAACTGCTTGTTAGGTAAGCTTATATGGCACATGATTAAGTTCCACTAATTCGTATTTCTGCATTATGCTTTCTGATAATTCCGGAGCATTATACTCATGCAGCAGTGGTAGGAAGTACTGATTTTTTAAAAAAATGTCCATTCTCAACCGGGCGCAGTGGCTCACGCCTGTAATCCCAGCACTTTGGGAGGCCGAGGTGGGTGGATCACGAGGTCAAGAGATCGAGACCATCCTGGCTAACACGGTGAAACCCTGTCTCTACTTAAAAAAAAAAAAAAAAAGGCCGGGCATGGTGGCGGGTGCCTGTAGTCCCAGCTACTCGGGAGGCTGAGACAGGAGAATGGCGTTTACCCGGGAGGCAGAGGCCGGGCATGGTGGCGGGTGCCTGTAGTCCCACCACTCGGGAGGCTGAGACAGGAGAATGGCGTTTACCCGGGAGGCAGAGCTTGCAGTGAGCCGAGATTGCGCCACTGCACTCCAGCCTAGGTGACAGAGCAAGATTCCGTCTCCAAAAAAAAAAGTCCATCCTCTTGATAAAGCAGTGTAACATCAGGAAAATTTAGTTGGGGTCATTGTCTACCATTTGAGTATGTGATACTCTAATGTTAAGAAATCAAGTCTAAGTCTAGGAAATTTAGACCAATTATTTTTGATATACAAAACTTACATATATAAATTCAGTAGTTGTACCTGGCTTGCAGCTATTTTTGTGTTGACAGTTTCCATCATTTATGGTTTGTCCCAAGCACAAAATCCATGGGATTCCAGGTAATGATACAATATAGTAGTTGCACAGTTCGCTTTTCCATACTGTTCAGGAATCCATGGATTTATCTGAAGGTTCTTTTTTTTCTCCTATAGTATCACTAAGTATTTCATCAGATATCTTAGATGTGGTAGGTGTAGTCTGGGGAGTCACAGTGTGTCCAAACCCTTGGTAGTGACCCATGGGTGAAGGTGGCATAGAAGAAGTAATGGAAATTGCATCTTGTGATGATGATGATAATAAGCTTGTATGTTCATTTTGATCTTGATCCTCGGGAAACAATTTTTTCCTGGGATGTCCCCTGACTGTCCGTCCTTTAATATAAAGTTTTCTGTTAGTCAAAAGTTATTTTTACCATTATAAACTTAACATTCTAAAAATAAGCTCCCCACTTCCCCCTCTCCCACTCCCCAGACTTGATGAGCCTGCACTGTGGTACTGCTTTAAAGTCTTTTTTCATCTCCAAATAGATAATAAATTGCCCTAGCAGGAGAAATTCAATATCCTACCTAACCTATTTGGTTGAATTAAATAGCTGGTACTTACCAACATGCCTTACTTGTTCAGAAATATCATCTCTAATATCTGAGACATCCCACATGGCAAGAAAGGAATCAAAGCATGAGCCTTCTTCTGCTTCTTGGACATACGGTTTATATGAGAATGTGTAATGATGAGCAATGGCAGCGAGGAACATCTCAATACAGATAATAAAATCCTATGAGAACAATAAAATAATAGTCACCTTTGGATTCAAATCTAGTTTTGTAGAGTGCTATCTTTCTCTACTTGCTTTTCAAAAGTGGTAAGTTAAACAGCTGTGTTTTTTCTTCTCAGATTATATTCATTTTTCCATTTTCCAAATAATTATTTTTGACCTCTTCAAAAAAAGGCAAAATGCCAAAATGTGAATCTATTTTGCACTTCCTCAAGTAGCAGCCTTGAATTCCTGCATTCAAGCAATCCTCCCACTTCAGCCTCCCACGTAGCTAGGAGTATAGACATGCACTGTTGGGCCTGGCTAAGCATTTTATTTTTAAATTTTTTGTAGAGATAAGGTCTCGCTTTGTTGCCCAGGCTGGTCTCGAATGCCTGGACTCAAGTGATGCCCCAACGTTGGCCTTACGAAGTGCTAGGATTACAGGCATGAGTCACTGCATCCAGTCAGCCTCAAGTATTTCTTAGCAAAGTACATTTCATTCTCAGTCACATCAAGTATATTGCATTTCACCACCCAAGGACTGCAAGGAGAAATGTAGAAAGAGAACTGGACTTAGGAATAATGAAATCCAGGTTTTATTCGCGTTATCTGCTACAAATTAGTAATTATGGCCAATTTCTCTAGGGTTCCCCTGTTTTTTCACCTGTAAAGTGAGGATAATAGCCCCCATACCCTGTGGGTTGTCAGATTTAGTGGAGATATGTAAAAATGCTTAACAAATAGTAAAGTTCTATTGAATTCAGAGATGGCACCTACTTACCTGGAGTCCGGTGGCCACAGCTTCTACAGTTTGCCATTCCCATGTATGCTTTTCAGAAATAACGCCAACTTTTACCAACAAAGCAATAACTACTGCTTGCCTATATGTTAGGAAAAGGTAAACGCCAAATCTATATCAAGCATAAAATGAGCAGTAGTTTTAAAAATGTGCCATTAAAAAAAAAACCCAGTGTAACCTGTGGACCACCACCACCCTCTGCCTTTACAGCATATTGCTGAAGAAACTCTATCTATGTTAAATATATTAATTTGCTTTACAAATTCATTTTT